ATAAGAAGCAAACAGAGATCTAAAAGGTGTCATATGATAAGTACAACCAGAGTCAATCAACCACTCATTTTCAGTCATGCTACTCAACACAGAATTTGCAAAATCACAGACCATAAAAACTTCTTCATGCAAGTTATTATCATCTACCACATTAGCATGTTCAGACTTCTTAGGATGGGGACAATCCTTAATGAAGTGACTAGAATTACCACAATTATAGCACACTCTCTTCTTAGACTTACCTCTCTTCTTCCGCGGGTCATTGTTATTGGTCTGGTTCTTATTGTTGTTACCCTTCTTATGGTTTCTAGATCTACTCTTAGACCTACCCTCACAAGCAACGCTTCACCAGAGTCCCTAGATTGACTGTTACTACCCCTCGAGTGTCTAAGGTCTAACTCCTTACTCCTTAACCCATTAACGACTATATCAAGTGTGATATCGTCTCTACCATACTTTATTGCAGATTTGACGTCATTGTAAGAGTCGGGGATGGCGTTAAGCAACACTATGGGTGTGTAGTCATCTATGTGTTTATCGCCGGCTTGCTTAATGTTCTGAATAAGCTTGTTAAACACATCTAGGTTCTCATCTATGTCCTTAGTCAGGTCAAGCCTAAACCTAAAGAACTTCTCAAGCAAAAACAATTTACCAGGCAAAGAAGTATCGGTATACAACTTATCTAACTTGTCCCACAACTCTTTTGCAGAATCTATGATACCCACCTTCCTGAGCACTGAATCAGAAAGGTTTAGGTAAATAGAGGAACAAGCAGTTTCATTCATTTCAACGCGCTTGGTAGCATCCTCAGAGTCTAAATAGAGACCGGTCACAGCTCTATAGACTTTCTGTTGGATCAACACGCATTTGATTTTCTGTTTCCAGATATCAAAATCTGTCTTTCCGTTAAATGGAAGCATGCCATATTGATTGACAGCCATATTAACCGGAAAGCAAGCACAGCACGCAAGAGAGTGAATAAAAAAAATTACCAGGCTGTCAACCGGTACGAAGCAACTAGCACGAACAAGTCGAGAAGACCAATGAACACAAAGCTCGAGTACAATCTCCTTGTTCTTTCGTATCGTATGAAGCAACTAGCACGAACAAGCCGAGAAGACCAATGAACACAAGGCTCGGGTACAATCTCCTTGTTCTTTCGTACAAGCACAGATAAAAAAAATTTATTTAATCAACAGACAGATAAATGATTAATTATAACCTATAGGGCTATCAATTGTACGAAGCAACTAGCACGAACAAGCCGAGAAGACCAATGAACACAAAGTTCGGGTACAATCTCCTTGTTCTTTCGTACAAGCGCAAATAGGCTAGAATTAAATCAACAAACAAAGAGACAGGATTTAAAACAAATCCGGACAGAAATATTTCCAACTTCGGACAACAAGTATCCAAACAAATATTCTTAACCGGAGAGTTTATCCACGAATCAATCAACAGAAAAAATCAAAATAAAAAATCCAACATGTGATTAAATTTAAACCGGAAGAAATATTCACAACTTTGGACAACGAGTATCCAAACAAAAATATTCTTCACCGAAAAAATTAATCACAAACCAACAAGTAATCACAATTCAAACAAACAAGTAATTGTAATTCAACTTGAAATTAAAATGAATGAACTACGAATAAAAATCACACAAAGGATTAGTAAACGTACCTGGGGCCGGACACAACCGGCATCCAAGACCACGCAGGTCAGCAGCGGGGAGCGGGGGGGGGGGGGGGGGGGGAATAAATCCGGTGGCACTCCGGTACACCAAGGGTGGTTATCGCCAATTTACCTGAGCGGGGCCCGAGGTTGGATTACCCGACTTACCGTAGGCAGCGTGGGCTGCTGTAGAGCGTGGCGGCAGAGCTCCCAAACTGGCGGCAGCAGGTCTGGACCGGCAGCGAACTGGACTGGTTTGGCTCCTGGCAGACGGCGGCAGCACCCCTGGACCTCCGGTGACTTCTGGACAGCAGCGGAGGGCGTCGACGTGGCGGCAGGCGGCGGCGTGGCGGCGGCAGACCTCTCCCGTCTCTGATACCACTGTAAGAACTCGAATCCAGCTCAGGTCTCAACCACTTTCATCCACAAAGGATGAATTTCACACACTAGGATCAACAAGGGGAGAGAGGGGCGTCGGCCAGCAGCTATTTCCGGCCAGTTCGTAGGAGCACCCACAGAGAGGCAGTAATCAGAGAAGCAAGGGTTTCGGCCGGACCTAATTGCAGCGGGCAAGAGAGATTAAATAAGCTAAGCTCAAAACTCAAACATGGTAACTTACCATACAGGTTGAAACCGAAGGCTCTGGCGAAGCGGAAGAGAACGACGCACAAGGAAAGCGGTGCGGAAGAAAGAATAAAGACATCGGCCAAGGATAATCTCAAATGAACTGGGCTTAGGGAAAGAACCGGACCAATACCTAACAATCTTGTCGTGTTTAATGTACTTCTCTTTTTCTAATACGACAATTTCAACAACAAATTAATGTGATAACAATATGATAAATTTTTAAATAAAAAATGTAATGTTCGTAATAATGCAATTATAGTAAAACTATCACTATATATTAGTGCAATATAACCAGTCACTTCTTTGTTGACATTAGTAGTGGACTCGGTTCGGGTCACCCGGCCCGGCCCGCTACTGTGCGGGCCCGGAACCGGTCTGGTCTGGCGGTCCGGGACCGGGTGTAGACCCGAACTGGGGGGCAGCGGGGGTCGGGCTCGGTTCTGGCAAAACGTGACCCGGCCGGGTCGGGTCCGGGTCACAACGTTTACATTTAAAAAAAATGTTTTGGGCCAAAAGAGCCGTTAGGCTTGGGTTGGGACTACCCAAACGGCTATATAGCCGTTGGATTAGTATTTCATGTTTTAATTTTTCCTTCAATTCTCAATTATAACTTGTAAACTTGTAGTTCATATTTCTAATAAATATACGTTCATTTTTTTATATGTAGTACTTCTCAAATTAATTAAATTTACATTATGTAATTTATTCAAAAATTTCAAACTAAAATAAACAAAAAAAAAATTGAAATCAAAGGCTCAAGCCTCAAGGCCCCAAACGGCTATATAGCCGTTGGTGGGGGTGGGGTGAGGGGTGGGGGTACAAAAATTTCTATAAATATTCCTATTTTCTAACATTTTTATACCCATCTTCTCCAATATCCAATCTCCATTCTTATCTCCATCTATTCTAGTATTATAGAATTATTATATCTATCATTTTTAAGATGGAAAGTCAATATGCCGTTATCACGTATAATTTTTATACGCAGAAGGACCCGAGGACCGGAATGTGGTACGCAATTTGCAAATGGTGTGGGAAAAGGTGTAGCTTGGGGGTTTCACGTGGATACGGGATGGCCAAGAAGCATATTAAGTCATGTGACAAAGCCAAAGGACCGGAAAATTCTGATTGATTACAAAATATATTTCATATTGTATTTTTTTCTCAATTGTCAAATGTAGTTCCTATTTCATTTCAAATAAATGCACTTGAAGTTTGTTTTTAATACTTGTATAAAACTATAAATTATAAATAAGTAAAAAAAATTGGATTTACCCGGTCCGACCTGGCCCGGCGGGTGGCCGGCCCCGTGACCCGAGCAGGTGGCCCGGCTCGAACCGTAACCGTCCTTACCTCGGGCCAGTCCCGGGCCCATCAATTACAAATCAGAGGCCCGGCCCGAGTCCACCACTAGTTGACATTATAACGTAAAGAACTATATAAGAATGCATGCAAATGACAGAGTAAGTAAAGAAAAAACAATAGAATGAAAGATAGGAATTTGTGAAAATAGAGTTATTAAACTTGTAAGAAGAAATGATGAAATGATAAGTATATATAGGAAATATATTATCCCCATCCCATATTCCCATTTGCTCTAATAGTCAATTAGTGACTACCATAGTACCATATAATGATATAAGGATGTATTTACTTGGATAGATTTTAATCCTAAATCAAATTTACACAGACCAAACATAAATAGCCTAGAGCCCTAGACCAAACAAGTCCTAACTTTGACACTTGTAAGATATACATAGACCAAATATATACCAAACCAAATTAAACCAATTCAAATCAGATCAAACTTAAACAAATCTTATCAGAAAATTTCAATCTAGTAAAACCATCTAAGTAGCCTAACACCGTCCGTCATCTAGTAAAAACAGCGTAAGTAGCCTAACACTGCCGTATGTAGAGCAGAATTATAATTGGAGCGGGGGTCAAGGGCACTAAATAAAAATTACAAACCGATCTTGTTTTAGAGGGAAATGACCATACTTGATATTTATTGGTTTACACGACCGCTAAGCTGAGAAAAAACAGGCCAGTAAGTCGTACTAGGAAGACCTTATTTTCTCAGGATATACAAAAAAAAAATTGTTAATAACTCTGACGTCATATCCATACCACGAGAAGGCCCGAATGTTTTCATGAGATTTTTTATAATACTTCTAGTCCCTTTCTCTCGAAGAAAGTCTCTGTCGTGGGAGTAGGGATGGACTCGGGTCCGGGCCGGGTCCGGGTCGGGCCTAGGCCCGGGTGGGCCGGCGGTTCAGAAGTGGTGGACCCGGGACCGGCCCGGGTAACCACCGGGTCCGAGCCGGGCCGGGCCCATTATCAATTTTTTTTTCCCTCTTCCTAATTAACCCCCCTCCCACCCTCAACTCCCCAAACCACCCCAAATGGCCCAAAATACCCAGCCCAACCCGAAAATTTTAAAAAAATTGAAAAAAATAGTTTTGGCCCGAACCGGGCCGGCCGGGTCGGGCCTTGTTTTGGGTGACCCGAGCCCGGACCGGAAAACCCACGGGCCGGGCCGGGCCTACCCGGACCGGTCACTGACCGGGCCACCGGGTCAGGCCGGGCCGGAACAGTGCCGGTTCCGGGTCGGGCCACCCGGCCCGAGTCCATCCATACGTGGGAGTAGTAGTGCAATTGCATCACGTGCAATTACATTAACAAAAGTTGCATTTTGGTAATGTAAAATTTTGGGAGCAAGCATCATATATTAATAGGGCATTCATTCAATCTAAAAAATAATAATGTCGATTGTCGATAAAAAACTTTGACAAATTAAACAATGAATAGGTGCAGTGTTTATTATTATTTCAATTCTCTAGAGCAATATGAAAAAGGGAAAAAATGAAAATTTGATGCTATATGGTCAACATGGAACTCCAACTCTTGGGTGCATCTGCCACAAGTATACAATATACCTGTACAACGAATAAAACTCTCTTCCTCCACAAACTTTGCACAATTGACAGGCTGAATTTTCCCTTTGGTTGGAATTTTATAGATGCAGTATCTCAGTTAGACGAGCCTCCGCATCAGCTGGAATATCTCTTCCTGGAACCTCTACCTTTAGAAGAAGTGAATATCTGTAAAGGTTAAAAGCCGTTCAGATTTCATTTTATGGATGATAGGTAATCAAATAGTAATATATTGATTAGGTAATCAAATAGTAATATATTGATTCGGAAATCTGGAGCACAGGATTACATGCACAGCAATGGCGGAAATGAAAAGAAAGAGAAGAAACAGATTGAGACTCTTCGAGAGGCCTCACTCTCTCAGACTAATTCCAACTGAATTCCAGTCTGCCCTCTCCCTTCTATTCCTTCTATTTATTCTTTTCCAATGAGGCTTCCCTCAATCTATCTAATTACTTGGCCCAGCCCACTAGACTATTACATTGTATTAAAATATTCAATATTATTTCTATTCTATCTCATGCCATAAGCCCATAAGTCCAGGTCTCTATCAATGGAAATAGGTAAGTAGGTATATAAGAATGTGTGTATATATGGACTATGTGGGTACGTTAGAAATGATATGCATGTATGTATTCAACGTTAACTCACTCTGCGGTTGTAAATAGGTCCTCGTGCTCATTTATGAATGCAAGTAGGGCCTATCAAAAAAGTGAAATTGTAAGAATTAAATATAATCACAATGACAGATGGGCATTTACAGTAAGAGTAGATTGAAGGATTTTTTAATCATCACCTCAAAGGGCATGTTTAGTAGTTCGTAATATGTTCTGACACGATCTAATCTCAACTGCACGGCTTCACTGTCAATTGAGGGGATTGCTGCAAGCGCCTTTTATATTTTTTTTATAAAAGATAAAAAAGAACTATTAGCCAAGAACTCAAAAAACAGGTTTTGGGTTTAAAATGCTAGAATTGTTTATAAGAGAAGAATAAGGGAAGGAAGGGAGGGGACCTGTTCGAGCGCAATCGAGTTGCGACATATCTGTTGAACTCCAAGCAGGTTGATAGATTTTATATCGGTCAAAGCCTATTAAGCAACCCAGTAAAGCACTACTACTCTTTAGTAAAGAGGAATATCAGGAAGTGAAACCCCTACAACAAACAAACAAACAAGCAAACAAATAAATCACTGTTAAGAATAAATACGTAAAGTGAAGACCTTTATTGAAGCATTTGCTGCAACACTGCATATTCCACCAAAAATGTACTTCCTCTTCAATCCATTGATGAAAGGTGCCATTTCTTCGTCACGGCGTGTTATCTATCGTAAAAATATAGGTATCATGCATTTCAGAAATGACATAATAACACAGCAAAATGTGAACCTCTAGTAAAACAAGAAAGAATGAGAATGAACAAGTAATATAATAGCAATCTCATAAAAGGTTTTAAAAAGGGATAACTATATAATAACATAAACTCAATAAATCGAAATATAATCTAAGATAAGAACTTCACTAACCAGGGATGTTAATGAAATTACGTAATCATCAGGTTCCTCTGCATCTTGGTCATCCAAATAGTCTTTACTTATCATTTCCTGTATACAGTATAACAACAACAACAACAACAACAACAATGACAACAACAACAATAAGAATAATAATAATAAATGGGATGAATATATAGGGTAAAGTTCAAATAAAACCGTTGTAAAATGTGCATGGGTGCACCTTTACACCGTTTGTAATGCACTTTGATGTTCAAAGTAATGCATATTTTGATGACAAAAATACACGGGTGCACTTTATCCGTCTCTAATGCATCTTCACTTTCAAAGCAATGCATATATGCGGTGACGGAAAATTTTGGTTAATTTACCAAAATATTACCGTGTTTTTTAGCTTTTAGATCTTAAATCCGATGCTCCGTATTCGTTTGCATTTTGCATGAAAGACAACTTTTTATTTGAACTAAAATACATATGTGTTTGTATGTGTGTGTGGGTAATGTACATAGGTATGTATGCCCAAGCATGGGCAAAATAAGTAACAGGAAGTGCCAAAACCTGCATGTGAAAAATAGTCTCCAGCTGCATTTCTATACGCAGAACTTTGAGGCAATCTATTGATAAACTTTTATATTCTTCAGCAAATGCAGCAAGATCCTTGGGAAGGGAACTTGTTGTCCTAGAATGTTTGTGCGTTTTCTTATTCACATCCTCCTCCACTTGATTAGTTGCTCGACCACTGGTCTTTGAAAGCCTTGTAATAATGTAATCAAACAAGAAACTTACTTGGTGCAAAAGTATGCATATAACATTTAAAGCATTATTTGGCACACACATAAAACTGTACTTCTCCTTCATCAGCAGATTTCAACTGATCACATCCAACCCTGTGAACACTAAATTTATGCAAAAAAAACGGTGGCAAAGTTTTACACTGCATGCCCTTCAAGTTTTTTGAGAAATTATTTTCTTCTTACAGAGGAATACTAAGATGAAACTTCAAAATTCTCATCATTATAGATTTTTCCACTTGAATGGAAAACATCATGAGATGACTATAAATTTAGATCATTAAAGTCATGTCTCATTACAAGATTTTACCTAAAACCAACATGCACATCATGGAACATAAACATACAAAGTACATTAGTCCACAAGCATATGCTTATTCAAGATTATACATCGATCTTGAAAAAAAAAGATTATACATCAATCAGGTAGATAAGAAAATGGTTGCATGAATAAATTTTTCCTCTGTTCCACAGAATACTTTTATAGCATAACTGCAAATAAATACATGTGTATAAACTATAAAACTATATTCCATTACTGTGATTGATAAAAAATAAAAGTATGCCTTCTGGGTTTTTAGAACTTACCTATCTATTGAATCTGCAACAAATTCTAATGAATCACTCAATGATGCCAACAGGACAAGCTTGTTGTCATCACGGATCAAGTTTTCCTGAAAAAAGAATATTGGAACGGATGATAGAACTTCATATTGACAACATTAAGATGGATCATCATCATTTTCATTTACCCCAGTGCCGCAAAGGCTCCCACCTACGGTGGGGTAAGGGGGGGTCGGATGTACGCAGTCTTACCCCTGTACTAAAGCACAGAGAGACTGTTTCCGAATGACCCACAGTGAAAATCGCGTCCAAGATTGCATGGACTGATTGCTGCTCCATAACAAAGAAGCGTAGACAATTTAGTGAGCCATTTTGCTTTATTCCATCATAATCTCAAACCAAAAAATAATGAATCTTTGGCTCCATTGCAAATGATGGAAAAGACAACATTAAGATGGATGCTACCCTTTTTTGTTTTTACACCCATGATTTTGGCTTCTTGTGGTTCACAGAAGGTGCACTTAAGGTCTAATACAAACTAGACCAAAAAAATGTTGGACGGTAGTTAATAGTCTAAGAGCACAGAAATACAAAAACAACAACATTATTACCCTAGTGCCACAAAGGCTCCCACCGACGGTGAGGTAAGGGGGTCAGATGTATGCAACCTTATCCCTATACTAAAGCACATAAAAACTGTTTCCGGATGACCTATGATCTAAGAGCACACATATGTGTTAATAAAATGTAAATCAAATATCAAATACCTGCTTGATCGGCCTCAACTTCAGTAATACATCACTTATTTCATTCTCAACCTCCGAATTCCCAGCACTAGAAGCATTATTTTCTGAGTTTGGGTAACCAAGAGAACTTGGTAAACACAAACTGGCTGGTTCAAGTCGCATTAGATGTTCAATGTCTTGTCTTCCTATGAGCATATAACTTTGCTTTTCAAGAACTGCCTGATAAAATGTAAGTTTTAGGAATAAAACTTCCTTGAATATTATTGAGCCATCCGGCAATGATATATATACAAGTTACAGATAAAGTCAAGTTGTTACAGATCCTAAAAAATAGGATCTATCTATTCTATCTATTCTGTGAGCTTATCTACTAATTAGAGAGTTCTATCTACTCTAATTCTTATCTACACAGTTCCGGATGTACAAGTAATTAAAATAACAAGAATATGTTACATTTTTCTACACTCCCCCTCAAGTTGGTAAGTATATATCATACATTCCCAACTTGCTTATAAGTAGCTCAAATATAGGTCTAAATAACCCTTTGGTGAAGATATCAGCTGTTTGATCTTTAGTGGATACAAATGGTGTGCAAATGATTCCAGCTTCAATCTTCTCCTTAATGAAATGTTTGTCCACTTCAATATGCTTAGTTCTATCATGTAGCACAGGGTTATGAGCAATGCTTATAGCAGCTTTATTATCACAATATAACTTCATAGGCAGCTCAATCTCCATCTTTAGTTCTGTGATTACTCGTTTGATCCAGAGTAACTCACATATTCCATTAGCCATAGCTCTGAATTCTGATTCTGCACTACTTCTAGCAATCACATTTTGTTTCTTACTTCTCCGGGTTACTAGATTTCCCCATACATAGGTGCAGTATCCAGAAGTAGATCTCCTATCAGATATTGAGCCAGCATAATCTGCATCAGTAAAAGCTTCAATTTTCCTATTGTTTCCCTTTTTGAAAAACAATCCTTTCCCTGGACAGCTCTTCAGGTATCTCAGAATCCTGTAAGTAGCATCAAGATGTTCTTGGAAAGGATGATGCATAAACTGACTTACCATGCTTACTGCAAATGCAATATCTGGTCTTGTGTGTGCCAGATATATTAATTTTCCTACCAATCTTTGATATTGGTGAATATCCACTGGATTTCCCTCCTTGATATCTCCCAATTTCTGACTTGGGTCAATTGGAGTGTCTGCTGGTTTGCAGGCACTCATTCCAGTTTCCTGTAGAAGATCTAAAACATATTTCCTTTGTGAGACAACAATACCCTTCTTTGATCTAGCTATCTCCATTCCTAGGAAAAAATTTAAATTTCCTAGGTCTTTAATCTCAAATTCATGAGCAAGTTTGTCTTTCAATCTTTTAGTCTCTGTGTGATAATTTCCTGTGAGGATAATATCATCTACATAGACAATTAAGATTGCAATCTCCCCCTTACCTGAAAACTTCATGAATAAAGTATGGTCAGCTTGAGCTTGATTAAATCCTTGCTTCTTTATGAACTTTGTGAATCTGTCAAACCAGGCTCTTGGAGACTGTTTAAGTCCATATAAAGCCTTCTCTAATCTGCAAACTTTTAACCCAAACTTATTTTCAAACCCAGGAGGAGGTTCCATGTACACTTCTTCTTCAAGTTTCCCATTTAAAAAAGCATTCTTTACATCCAGTTGTTGTAATGGCCGTCTAAATTGGCAGCAAGAGATAAAAGAATTCTTACAGTGTTCAACTTTGCAACTGGTGCAAAGGTTTCTTTGTAATCAATTCCATAGGTCTGTGTGTACCCCTTGGCAACTAGTCTTGCCTTATACCTCTCCAAACTTCCATCTGCCTTAAACTTGGGGTTGAAAATCCACCTGCAACCAACTGTAGGTTTATTTTTAGGTAACTCTACAAGCTTCCATGTCTGATTCTTTTCAAGAGCCTCCATCTCCTCCAAAACAGCTCTCTTCCACTCAGGTTTAGATAGGGCATCCTGTATGGTTGTAGGAATAGAAATAGAAGAGATATTGGAGGTAAAGGCTGCAAAGTCTGATGTCAATTTAGAATAAGAAACATAGTTTGAGATGGGGTATTTAACACATGTTCTTCTCTCTTTTCTGAGAGCAATAGGAAGGTCAAAGTTGCTAGAAGTGTTACCTTTTTCACTTCCTGACATTGAGGCAGAATCATGGACAGTTGTAGGTTCTTGGACTTCCTCTATTCTTTGATTTCTAACCCTTCTCTCATAAGTTTTTTCAAAGAACTGACTTGTCTGTTGATCCTTTTCAATTGGTTCAGTTGGATTTACTTCATTATTTTTAATTCCTTGATCATTTTCAGGTGTACTGATATTTCTAAAGAAATTATCATCCTGATTAATATCAACTTATCAAGAAAATTAAAATTTTCATGAATATTTGGCATTATAGGAACATCTTCACTTAATTTCTCCCCCTGAAGATGAGAATCAAAAAAAGGTTGTTCTTCCATAAAAATAATATCCATAGTAACAACCATTGTTTTGGTTGTAGGATCAAAACATTTATACCCTTTTTGAGTGGCAGAAACACCTAGAAAAACACATTTTTTTCCTCTAGGATCAAACTTACTTGCAGATCTATCTGGATTTTTGATAAACACTGTGCAACCAAAAATTTTTAAAGGTAGGGTGTTTACCAATCTATTTGTAGGAAAGGAGTGTTGTAGTAAACTAATAGGACTTTTAAATCCTAAAATTTTGGATGGCATGCGATTAATTAAATAAGTTGCATGTAACACTGCTTCTCCTCACAAATATTTTGGTATGTTTGTTGAAAACATGATTGCACGAGTGACTTCAAGCAAATGTCTATTTTTCCTTTCTGCAAGTCCATTTTGAGCTGGTGTATTGACACAAGAGCTTTGATGAATAATGCCTTTTTCAGTAAAAAAGTTGTTTAAAGTTTGAGAAAAATATTCACGGCCATTATCACTTCTTACCATTTTAATTTTGGTATTGAATTGAGTTTGGACCATAGCATAAAATGTTCTAAATATTTTCTCAACTTCAGATTTTTCTTTGATTAAAAATACCCATGTGACACGAGTATGATCATCAATAATAGTTACAAACCATCTCTTTCCCTTTAAAGTTGGTATTCTAGATGGACCCCAAATATCACTATGTACCAAGGTAAAAGGGCTAGTAGGTTTATAACTGTGGGGTAAATAAGTGTTTCTGTGATGTTTTGCAAGTGCAAACATATCACAATTAAACAAAGAAGCATCTTTATTCAGAAATAATTGAGGAAACATCTATTTTAAATAATAGAAACTAGGATGTCCTAGTCTATAATGAAGTAAATACAACTCTTTATTATTTGAAAAAGAAACAGTTTGCAAACAAGCATTTCTTAGACCTCTTTTATTAGATTGAGTTTCTCCATCAAAGATATAGAGTCCATCCTCCTCCTTAGCACTGCCAATCATCTTCCCCGATGCTAGGTCCTGAAAAATGCAATGAGAGGGATAAAAAATGACACAACATTGTAGATCTTTAGTTATTTTACTAACTGAAGTAAGATTGCAGGATAGATTAGGGACATGAAGGACTTTGGATAGATTCAGTGATGAGGAAATACTAATATTTCCCATCCCTGCAATGGTTGATAGAGAACCATCTCAACCTTAACCTTTTTATCTCCTGCACTAGGTTTATATGAAGAAAAAAGATTTGAAATAGAAGTCATGTGATCAGTAGCCCCTGAGTCAATAATCCAGGTATTTTTAGATTTCCCAGAACAAAAAAAATGATGAATAGGTACCATTTTGGGCATAAGAGCAAGAGGAAGATTCTGGTTTGGATTCTTTCTGGGAATTTTGGGTTTTCTGGGAATTAAGGAAGTTAAGAAGTTGCCCTATCTGCTCCTGAGTGAATGAAAATTGATTGAACTTGACTTGTGGTTCTTGTTGAGTCTCAGTCACAGTTGTTTGTAGGGCCTTCTCAGTTTTTTTCTTTCCTGCCCCTGGTGGTTTGCCATGAATTTTCCAACAAGTCTCCCTAGTGTGCCATAACTTCTTGCAATGATCACACCAGGGTTTTTTCTTGTCATCACTCCTAGCCACCATTGCTGAAGAGTCCCCAGATTCCTCATTATGTACTAGAATGCTGTACATAACCTTCTTCCTGCTATCCTCCATCCTGATTTTAGAAAATACCTCCCTGATAGAGGGTAGAGGTTTTTTTTCAAGTATCCTCCCCTTAACTTCATCTAGATCTCTATTAATTCCTGCTAGGAACATGTAAACCCTATCATTTTCCTCCCTTTTTTGTGTCTTGCTAGATCCTTGGCACTCTCCCACTTCTCATCATCATGGCACTGATCCAACTCTTGCCATAGGGATACCATCTCATTGTAGTAAGAGATGATATCTCTATTGCCTTGTTTGGACTGCCACAACTTTGTTTTTAATTCAAAAATCTGAGAAGAGTTCTCAAGATCCGAGTAAGTTTCCTTAATGGAATTCCATACCTCCTTTGTAGTTTTCATGAACATGTGAGGTTTGGCAATTGATGCATCCATTGAACTTAGAAGCCATGCTGTCACCAAGGAATTTTCTGACCTCCAGACACTGTAGCCATCATCACCAGTTTGTTTCTCCTCTATTTCACCAGTTATGTACCCTAGTTTGCCCCTTCCATCAATAGCCAACTTGACAGACTGTGACCACTCGAGATAATTTGTGCCATTCAATCTATGACCAGTAATGAGCATAGATGAATGGACTGAGTTCTGATAGTTTGTCATTGAGCTATTTGGAGAGTTAGGGTTATGGGTTTGTGAGTGGGAAGAAGAGTCAGATTGTTCGGTTTCCACCATTGTGGTGTTTAAACAACCTGCTCTGATACCATGTAAGTTTTAGGAATAAAACTTCCTTGAATATTATTGAGCCATCCGGCAATGATATATATACAGGTTATAGATAAAGTCAAGTTGTTACAGATCCTAAAAAATAGGATCTATCTATTCTATCTATTCTGTGAGCTTATCTACTAATTAGAGAGTTCTATCTACTCTAATTCTTATCTACACAGTTCCGGATGTACAAGTAATTAAAATAACAAGAATATGTTACATTTTTCTACATAAAACAACCGAGCAACATGAGATATCTATGGTTTTACAATTGTATAATGTATTGAACTGATAAAACGCTTGTAACCATGACTTAAATAGGTAGT